GTCCCGCAACCCGTCCAGGTACTCCTCGAAGGACGCGAGGGGCCAGCGGGGTGGTGCGTACACACCGACCACCGCCAGGCCGCGCCATTCGACCGCCACAAACCCCTCCCCCCGCTCAATGAGCGAAGGGGGCAGGGACCGTGGCGATCCTCCACCGATTGCCGCCACGGAGCCACGCACGTCCCCGACCCAGGACGGTCGATCGAGGACTCGGTAAGGCTCCGCGACTATTGCCAGCGAAACCACCGCCGCCAGTTCCCGGACAATTAAGTCCTGGGCCCGGTGGGAGTGGTTCGCGTTTGTCTGCAGAATGCGGACCGGGGGGGCCATTTTTTAGGCCGTGACCATGGCCTCCCCCCAGCCCGGATCCTCATTTGGACGTTGCATCGCAACGCCCTCCGCCGGTGTCCCCGCAGCCCGCTCAGAGGCGGGTCGCGAAGGCGGGGCACACGCCCTCGCCCCCAACCTGTGCCCGGTCGGCCGACCCAAGTCCGTACACAACGGACATTTTAGGTTCGCCGCCGGGCACTGTCCTGCGCGGTGGTTGGAGTCACCGCAGCAGTAACAGCGGTGACTCCTGTCCACCCCCGCAGTGCACCGCTGCTGGGTGTGTCCCATCTCTAAGCAGCGGTAGCACTGCAGGGGCCGAGCCCTTAGTGCCTCCACCCGGGCGGAAATCCACCCGACCTTTATTCGCCCGGCGGTGGCCAGTTTTCTGGCGACCGCCAAAGGGCACCTTACCCAGAGGGTGCCCAGGCCGTTGGGGGAGGACCGGATTGAACCAGTCGTCACCCCTTCAACCGAGCACCCCCCGATGGTCGTGATGGCCGCCGCGACCTCCTCCGGCCTGACGCTGTCGTCAAGGCCGCTCACCCTTAGTTCCCCATGTTTGGTGGGGTGAGCGACCTCGGCACGACCCTCTAACACCTGTTGTAGGCGATTAGCTAAGGCCTCGGCCTTTGCCTCTCTCTCTCCGGGCCGAAGACCTCTAGAATGAGGCCCCCAGTTCAGGCCCGCCTTGGACGGACCTCGGTGATGCCGAGATCTTCAAGGCGTATTTTCTCCCTGGCAGCGAAGGTGATGGCGGCGAATCTTACGCCGGCATCCTCGCCACCGTCAGGGTGACCGCAGCTGATTTTGGAGGGCGGCTTAATTTAGCCGCTCCTCTTGCTCTGCGTGCCGGCGGCGGTGGAGGCGGAGAGAGAGGAGCCTTTTGGGCCCTCCTCGTCCTCCGACCCACCACCGTCTCCAAAGTCTGCTCACCGGAAGTAGGGGGCGGGATTATTTCCGGCCCCCTACTCCGAGAGCGCGACGCTGCTCTAGCTGGCGCGCTTGCCATCTTTGCCGCCCGGCTCGGTTGAACACGAGTCGGGGACGTAGCGACTGTGGGTGGTTGTGGTATAGCCACCCCTCCCCCAGCTGCCTTCTTCTTCTTTTTCCCCTTCTGCTTCTTCTTTTTACTTTCGGCGACGGGCGGCGGAAGTGGTGGTCCCTCGCGCTGCCTTTCCGACACTGGGGAGGCCGTCCGCCTCACCCCCCGGTTAGCGAGGGCCCTGCTCATCTCCGCCCTCACCCCTTCGATCTCTCTGGAGACCATCTCCTTTATCGAGGTGATGGCCTCCATGATGCGGTCCTGTTGTTCGGGCCGCCTTTCCTCCCCGCGCAGGAACGCCCTTGACGCCCGAATCGGCGACGCAAACGGCAGCGGCGAGCTAGGTGCCCGCCGCGGCGACGGCGTCTCCACCAAGGTTGCCGTGGACGGGAAACGGGGTGACGAGGTCAAAGCCCCCTCATACCCGTCCCCACGGCCCTCCCCACGGAGATCGTCGCCCTGCGTCTGCTGC